CCTCCAGTGCGACTACCGGGGCTCACCTCCAGATCACGTTGCCGCCTTGTCCCCTGCCCTAAGGAGACGATCGCTGAAGGAGGAGATCTGGCGGTGGCAGCAGGAAGAGGTGCCCGAGCACGTGCAAGTGCTTGTTTGCCTCTGCCTCCTTCTGCCTCCACCACCGGGGACAAGGCGGGTGACCTGAGCTGAGCCCCTCAGTCTCAGTGGAGATGGGGGACGACGACAAGGTGGGTGACGTGAGCTGAGCCCCTCAGTCTCAGTGGAGATGGTGATCAGGCAGGCGGGGGAGGCAGCAGCAAGAGGCGGCCGAGCGCGTGTGAATGCTCCTTCGCCTCCTCCTCCTCCTGCTGCCTCGGGGTCACCAGAGGGGACAAACTGTGAGCTCTGGAAGAGGCAATTGGGTGGCGGTGGCAAGAGGTGCCCAAGCGTGCGCATGACTGCTTCCTTCCATGTATAAAACAACACTCAATTTTCCCCTATTTTAGGAAAAAGGTGTTGTTTTATACATGGAAAAATACCCCCTATTTTAGGAAAAAAAAGTGTTGTTTTATACATGGAAAATACAATACTCATTGATCATTTCTTCCCTTTTCAAGGAAATCTATTGTTGTGAGGGTGCCTCCATGTTGACTTTAGCCCACTTGAACACATAGAATTCAGCTCTAGTGGCTTCTAGATTTAAGTCTGAGTTTGATCCTCTTTTATCCTGAATGGATTTCTAGGAACAATAAACAGGGGTGGGTTTTTTAAAAAAAATTACTATGAGCATTCAGAGTGATTACTCCTAATTGATAGTCATATACTCACTTTAGGCTGCACTGTGTTAACTTAACTTCTACAAATTCCTGCAGAATAATTATTCAAATTGCCCTTCCCAGTTTAGGATTTCCACTTAACTCCAGATTACATGCAATTCAAATGTTATTAGTCCTACTGCTGAAGCCATGGCTAGCTTTATCCTTCCATTAATATGTCTGATCCCTTTCAAAAGCTCTCCAACTTCACAGTCACCATCACATCTTGTGGTAGCAAACTTCATAGTTTCATTGCGATGTGACTTATTTTTGTCCTTCCTGCAGGTGACACTGCTTGGCTCTAGTCAACCCTACCTAAGAGTGGAATTTCTCCAGAACAAGCATAGAATGTTGCATTAAAGAAAAGCTCAGAATAGACATGCATTATGCTTCTGCCTACGACTTTTGAAAGCAAAAATGAAGCTTCTTACGTTGTTTTTTCTTTGTTGTAGACAAGATAATTGCATAATTGCATGAAAAGATTAAGGAATCTGAAGGTGGTACATGCCAACCCAACTCTGAATCATCTCCTCATGAAAATGCTCTCCTCAGCCTAAAATACTTACAATAAAAAAAACTAAATGTAAACTGTGAAACAAATTTGTCCAGAAATTAGTCCAGTCTTTCGCCAGGTTTTGCACTGAAGCCATGCCACACTGAAACCTTTTACACTTGTTGTGGTGAAACATGGGAAGTCAGTTGGCAGTAGTTCAGGGATACACACTGAAGGATATTGCCAAACACACCTTTGATGTATTGCATAATATGAGAGGTTATCAACTAGAGCCAGCTTTGAATCTGGGCATGCGCTAAACAATTTACAAAGCTAGGAAGAGAAACGCTATGTGGAAGTTTGAAGAAATAAAACAAATTATTGACTTCATGTAAAGGACGAGGAGAGAAGGAGAAAATATTAATTGTGGGGATAAACAAGATTGTGTCCAGTTACAATCATGCAGGAACTGATTTCAGATTAGTACAAAGGAGACAAGAATGGAATAGGAACAATAATGAAGTGCTCTTGATGATGATGATGATGATGATGATTAGTGCTCTTGATGATGATGATGATGTTATTCTGGAAGGGTTGTCGGTCATCATAACAAGATATGAAATATATCTCTACTGGTCCCATTGGGGAACTGAACCAATATTACTGTAGTTAAGTGATGTGTGTGGGGGGGGGGGGGGTTTCTTGTGTTGTTTAGAGTTGTGTTTGAAGGGTTGTGGGTCATCATAACAACAAGATATGAAATATATTTCTATCTCTACTGGTCCCATTGGGAAACTGAACCAATATTAGTTAAGTGATGTGTGTGGAGGGGAGGTTTCTTGTGTTGTTTAGAGTTGTGTTTAACTATTGTATTTTATCTTATGTTGTCTTTGTATTTGGTAGTTGTGTTAATAAAAACTGTTATATAATGCCAGTCTGTGTTTTTATAATTTCATTTGACTGTGCCTGGTATTTTTTTTAACAACAACATACCTGTATAACAACAGCATACCTGTAACTCGCTACTTTTGGGCAACAAGTAATGAAACTAGTATTTAAACATTACTTTTCAAGCACTGAGCATAACACCTAAATTACTTAGGAACAACAGCTATTGCCAAAGCTTACTTTTAAGGTGTTTTGACAGTCATTTTTCAAACTTTGCATCTTTTTCTTGTCAGTTCACGCTACCAAGGGAACTATTCTGTGGTTTTGTATTTCATTCATTCATTCATTCATTCATTCATTCATTCAACTTATATGCTACACACTCTACCCAAAGGTCTTGTCTTTTTATAAACATTTCCAAGAAAACTAGAATGGTATACTTTTTAGAAACATTTCCAAGAAAACTAGAATGGTATAGCAGAAGATATTCTGAGCTGGCCTCAGAAGACGCAAGTTCAAATTTCCACTAAGCCACAGTATTTCACCGGGAGATGGCAACGGTAAACCACTCCTTGAATTGATCATATACGTTTTTTAAAAAAAACTATTATGGCCACCAGAAATCAGAAGCAACCTGACAGTACAGAACAATTAAAATATTTCCAAGACACAGTATCAGAATTAGCCAACTGGTGGGAACCAGAGATTACAGTATTTCTTTGTATTTTTCTGTCCTCATGGCAACAGCGACACAACAAATTACCTGTGCTAATGGAGCAATTGTCCTGCTAATGGCAACCAGTGTGCTGAGAAGTAATGAGGGACCCCAGTAGTTCCTTTTATAATGTAATGTTTGCACTGAGAAAACATCCTACCTTACACAGTAATCATGAACCCACAAATGGATATAAATGGGGCAGTATTATAAAAGGATGTATGCACTTATTACCATTCGTATTTATATCCCTGTAATCATTTCAAATATGGCTATAAAACTCACTTCTAGTTGAGGAGTGAGATGTCAGTTCCCTACTGTGCCTTGGTAATACACTATTTCAATTGTTCTGGACTCTGCATCCTGTGCAAACAACCATCTTGTGAAGTCATGGGCAAACTAAATAGACCCAGAGTACAACCAGAAGAAGGGGATGGTGAACCACATCCAAGTACTCGATACCTAGAAATCCCTCAAAAGGGTCACAAATCACATGATGGATGCAATTATTATTATTTAGGATTTCAAGATGGGGAAATCTTCCTATTTTACCCTTTTAAATTGGGTTTGGCTTAGCTTCTTCTGACAATAAACTCACATGATTTGAAATAGGAGCTGATCCATGGTGACATGCTAAGCTTCATGGTCAAGGATGAATTTGGACTGTCACCCATGGTTTCCTTCCAGTTTATGTACTACATTACACAGAGGGAATGCTAACACTTGAAGCCTTAGTTTTGGAGTAGTAGCTCATGTGAGCCACCATAGTCTCTTAATATACTGCATGGAATGGAAAGGGGGGTTCACAGAAGCTCAAGCAAGATGAATTCAGATCCCAAAAAGCAGTGCTAATATAAGCCATAGATGTCTCAGTGTCCAACAACCTATTCAGGAGAATATATATACCAATTTTTCCTTCCCCAACAACATCTCCTCAGAGATAGATGCCTCAGTTACCAGACTTGCAAACGAAATCACTGTTCGCTTTCCAAGGACTAACCACAAAACAAACACTAAATGCAAGGTGCATAAGTGAGAAAAGTGTGCCACGACAAACAGCCATCGTTCATCACTTGAGGGAGCACTCTTTCTAAAAACATGCTAAATGTATCCTTTATTTTGACCCACAGTTCTACGGTTTTCTCTACTGAACATAGCCCTCCTTGTTTGAATGCACAATTATCTGCTGTACTCATTGAAATGTGAATTGAGATGACCTTCCTATGGAAGTACAAACCCATAAATTAAACTGGTACAGTTTCTATTCTTAGAGATTCTCGGAAAACTAGGCCTGTAACATGGCTCTGTTCTGCTATGGAGTTCAATGTTACACTTGTTTATGCAGAAATAAAACCAGCAACATTACTGTTCCCATTATCAGACTACCAGACTTGCTCTTCTTCTAAGTTTCCATTACTTTACCATCCTTGGAATGATTCAAAAGGATCTTAGATGTTTTTGTAAATGGATCAGTCAAATTCAAGGAGAATATTTGCCATGTCAGAACTTCCATGTGCAGAGACAGTATATGAGATTGAGAGAGAGAAATGCACATGCTGGTCAGAGCAAGAAGAAAATAAACAATATACTGTAGATGACAAATGAGTCTTCATCCTAGTCTATAACTTGTAGTCACTCATAATTAAAACAAAGAAGTAACAGCAATGCAAAGGTCTATAATTTCCTATCTGCCAGCTGGGTGACTGAGCAAAAACAATGATCAGCCTTAGCCACAGGGTACACTGGTAGCTTGATCGCTCTTATACGCATATCAACAAAACCAGGAAAGTGCTCACCAAATGAAAATAAATTTGCACAAAATTGGTACATATTAATATTTATACATAGATGCAAACTAAAATACAATTACTGCAATTTGGATAGTAATACAGTACCTACATTCATGTCTGTAAGCAGTTGACCTGTTTCTTCTGAAGCCCTGCAGGAGATGTTTTGCTTCCTGAAGCAGAACAGCAAATGGTAATTCTATTAACTTGAGTACATGATTCTCAAGAGCAGTCATGTGGTTTTCAACCACCTGAGACAAATTATGCATCACAATTACTATTGATTTGCTGCCATTTCTTCAAACCCCAAACCTGCTGACTAGGGAAGAGCAGCTGCCTCCCTCTGTCTGCCTGATGGTAAGGCCAGCTGTGCTACTCCAAACACGAACTGCCGGTGGGCAGTTTCAGGGCCTCTTCCTTCTGTCCTGAAAATTCTTTACCTTTAAACCAGACTTGGGCTGGAAATGGAGGATCCCTTCAAGTGGATAATTGTCCAGCCTTTCAAAGGTAAAAATATTCCACATAAAGTAAGCCATAGGTCTTTTGCTTCTGGACTGGCTCAAGCAATCAGTTAAAAAGAGGAAGAGAAACTGGTGGTGATGGTAGTAGCAACTGTGGCTCTGGATAACGATTCTTTCTCCAGAGGCTATTTAGACAATTCCCCCAAATGCTCACTAGGACCATCCTGCAGCCTTGTGTTAATACATGACTTAAGCAACCTGACTGTTCTTGCTGAATAAAATGACAGACCTGAGGTAAGAGACTCCAAGAATATTGCAAATTTTCTTTAGCACGTTGTGTGTGTGTGGAGGAGGGGGGGGGAAGAGAGCATCATTTCCCAACTATTTTTTTAGAACTAATCGACAGCTCAGTTATCAGTGTAATGGTTGATAACTGGAAATCTCTTTCCTATGGGAAGAGTCATTGTAAGAGAACATGTTTTGTATTATAGAGGCATTCTGTGAAGTTTTGCGCTAAACTACATTTTTCTGTGCAGTGATTTTAGCCTGAACTGATGTTAGGCCTTCTAGATTGGTAAATCTTTTATCAGCTTTTTCTGATAAACAAGCCAGTGGTGTTTGTAGGATTTTAAAAAGCAGCAAGGAAGCCTCCCACCCTTCCTTTCTGCCTCAGGAGATGGTATAGGATGAGAAGCAGAAACATGGCTGGGGAAGATTTCTTTGTAAGGTGCTTCTTTAGCAGGAAAGGTTTTCAGCTGTTGAACTTTTACCCATTAACAGCAGGGATGGAAAATAATTGTAGTGGTTTGCAAATTCTTCCTCAAAATGCCCATTTCACATCTCTCCTCACTGTGAGACAGAGTGCACCTGGCCTTGAATAGGGTCATGTCTGTGAAACTTGCAGTATGTTTCAAAATCCTGAATATGTTTAAGAAATGTGAATGGCTAAAAATCAGCTTAACTGAAAAATAGGTGCACACATACTTTCATCAGGGAGGACGGTATACACAAAACAGGTAAATTAAGAATTGTGCATAAATAAATGCATACAGTATTTATTTTCCATATGGAAAATGCATTGTGATTACAATACAGAAATGCATTGTGATTACAAATGACGTCTCACAACAGAGAAAGAACTAAGATGCAAAGAAAGAGAAATGAATGCAGGTGCAGTTTGGAGAAACACAATTGAGACAGAGGATCAAATTATATCTGAAGTGCAAATTCTTTGCAGTGAGTATTTTCTCTCTTTAACACTATGATTCCCACAGACATACTAAATTTTCACTCCAATTTCCTGTTGAAGGACTTGGGCTTTTTGTTTTGCCTTGTTCTGCATTCAGACAGAAACTTGTAGTTTTAAAAAAGGGCCACAGGGGGAAGGTATAAGCATGATGCCTCGTTTTCATTGTTTGAGGAGCTGGGGTGTGATATCCAATCAACAGCTTCCTGGGCTGTAATTTGAAAACCACACCTCCAGTGCAGCCTGCACCTGTTCTCTAAGAAACAAGTCTGGCACTTAATCTGCCATGATTTTTGAGGAACTCAATTCTATGAACTGACAAGAAGACTCTGGTGCATGCTTGAAGAAGTGGGCTTTGATCCACAAAACCTTGCAGACTGTATGATTTTTAGTGGTCTAATAAAGGCATAACTTGCTCCTGGTTTGCATTGTGTAAGGATCACATGGCTCTCTTTGATTTTTTCAGTACTTTGACATCCTCTTTGTATTTGTACTGATCCCCTATGGACCATTATATTTCTATCTCCCTCTCAACCCCCTTTCTTTGTTCCAAATGTTCTCTAATATCTTTCTTTTCCTTCCCTTCTTTACAGTGGTGCCTCGCATAGCGAGGTGCTCCTGGTTTGCATTGTGTAAGGATCACATGGCTCTCTTTGATTTTTTCAGTACTTTGACATCCTCTTTGTATTTGTACTGATCCCCTATGGACCATTATATTTCTATCTCCCTCTCAACCCCCTTTCTTTGTTCCAAATGTTCTCTAATATCTTTCTTTTCCTTCCCTTCTTTACAGTGGTGCCTCGCATAGCGAGGTTAATCCGTTCGATCTTTCTTTTCCTTCCCTTCTTTACTTGTCTCAGTTTGACAGGTCACCTCTTCCTTTGTAAATATATCTCCTTTTTCCTCCTCCTGCCCTGGTGATAAGGATAGGGTCCCATCTCATTCTCCCTAAATGGGTATCCTCCAGTCCCCCACACTGACATTACTGTATTATGTAGGCTTCCACTTGGGTCCCACTTTCCCAGGAGTAGCAACTCACAGTTTTTCCCTCCTTGGGCTCTTGGCACAGGAAGCCCAGTGAGAGTTTCTTCAGGT